CACTGCCCCCTCCTTGCCCTGCAGAGGCCACTTGCCTACAGGGAAGTGTCAGTGCCCGTGGGCCTCCCCAGACCTCTGCAGGGGACATTATCATCAGCGATGACACCTGCCTGGTCCCTAAGCTGGTGAGTGACAGGTGGAAGGGGGCCGGCACTGGGCCAGCCTCGGTCACAGGGAGGGGGACTGAGCAGCTCGCGGTGGCATGGGTCCCCAGAAGAGCCGCCATGAGAGGCTGAGGCGGAGACACCAGCTAACCACCTCTTGGTGCCGCCGAGCGGAGCCTGTAGAGCTGGTGCCAGCACTCAGTACATGCCCCAGCTCGGACCTGATACCACCGGCTTCAGCACCCAGGTGGGGAACGGCTGCCGGGAGCTGAGGGATAAGCGGAGTGAGGCACACACCCGGTCAGGGAGGCCTCCGTGACACTTGTCTACTCTAGCCGGGGTCAGCACAAACGTGTAGACTCCTGATCAGACAACGGGGGTCCCCCCTGCTCGGCTCCGAGTGCAACCCCCACCAACCTGCTCACTCATAGCAACAAGGGTGACCCTGGTGTTTCGTATAAAGAAGTCCTCGAATGTGGGTTTGTTGCCACAAATGCACACCCCACAGAAGATATACACAGTAAAAGTGCCAGGGACGCTCAAACCATCCCTTCCCAGAGGTAGCAGCACTGGGGACCTTCCAGGGGCAGGAGGCTGCCACCGCTAGGGCAGCTGAGGCAGAAGACGTCCCTGCAGGAGCCAGAGGCTGGTGGACATTTCAGACTAATTAGTCAAGGGCCAGTGGAAAAACAGGCGACAACATGAACAGAAAAGGAAACACATCATTAATGACACGCAAAGATGGTCATCCTCAGATATGACAAAAGATAATGACACTATACTGATGCCCGTCTTCCACCTCTCAGGGCAAAACTCCTGAAGTTTGAGGACACACTCTGTGGGGACGCGTGTCAGTCAGCTCCTGCCATGTAATGACCAGCCAGAGGCCCATGAGCGGGGCAGGCAGCACTGACTCCATCATGGATTGGGGGGGCAGCTGCACATAAAGCTCCGGGCAGCTCAGCCCCCACTCACGCCCTGTGGTTCTCTGTGGGGCTCAGGCTGCTCAGGGGACGTGTTCACAGGTGGGGCTTGGAAGTCCCGGCAGGGCAGGTGAGTCGTGGGGCTGAGCCGATGTCCGGGAGCCAGGGACACACTCCACCTTCAGAGGTGAGAACCGGGGCACCTGTGCAGTGGGCCCAGGGGATGTAGGGAACACGGGGCGTGGAGCTGCTCAGGAGGGTGACACCCCATGCCTCAGCAGTTCCACCCACCTCTGAGCCTTGTGCAGCACGTCGGTGCTGCCAGAATCAGGCACGTGTGCCCGAAGCACTTTCTCCCCACGAGGAGCACGACAGCCCAGCACCCAGCTGACAGGGACGTACCCACAACGCTGAGCAGCAGCCAGGCACGCAGGTGGGTCACAGGTGCCGCCCTGTTTATTCAAAGGTCAGCAAGCAGGGAAAACTGGACTGTCATGTCCAAGGGCACAGTCCAAGGGCATGCTTGTGCCAAACAGGTCTGCAGGATAGTAGGGTCATGGGTCAGGGGTCAGGGGTCAGGGGCCAGGGGCAGGGGCAGGGGGGATCTGTGATGGAGAGATGCCACTCAGGAAAAGCTTTCTCACAAATCGTTGAGTACTGACTGGCCATTGTTTCGAGCACCTTTCTGAACGTATCTCATATTTCACGATAAAAGGTTAAGAAGATACGGGAAGAATGGGTGAATAAAGCTGCTGCCAGCAGGAGTCTGTCTGAATGCAGACATGGACAAGCTCAGCTGTCTCGTTAAGTAGAAACCAGTCACCGTGCATGACCTGCTCTGTGCCTGGGGACAGTGATGGGATATCAGAATACATGTGCACCTGTTGTGACTGGCCGGGGATGCAGAGACCAATACCACATGGGCACAGGGGGACCTCAGCGATTTCCCGGAGAGGCTGTGCAGCGCCCCGCAGGGAGCAGGTCGGGGGCTACTTGGCAGAACCCTGGCCACCTGGGTTTTCAACCACCACATGCAGCCTCCGGGCCGGAGC